TAAATGCAATGGGAAACTCAGCGACTTTATTTTATATTTTTATGATATAACAGTACCATTCGGTAGACTAGAATTGGTCCTGACGTTTGTCACATTTACCGTCATTTACCCATAACTATATACGTGGGAATATGTACTGACGGGTACACTGCACGCAATCCACTCTTTACTATGTAGGTATGGCTACGAACTACACATTACACCCCACAAACGAATGTTCTTACACTGCATTACTCCAGGAGTTCTGCAAATGGCCAATCTTTGCCTTTATGGTTAAATAACCCTCAACAAGTTTTGCTGAAGAACCACCATACAAAGCAAGCACGACCCCATCATGGAGGAAGTAGAATTGCTCGAAGCGGACTTCCTTAATGGGGGAGAATCGATAGTGGCGAACCTCCATTTATCCCCCGGTGGAAACAAGACTCCCGGAAATAGATGACAAAGATGAGGAGGAATGGAAAGAGGCTCGAGATTTCTGCAGAAGGACGCCTGGGAGAATGTGGTGAATGCCATATACCTAATATATAAGGTATAAGCCATAGACAACATATGTTACATGTCACTGATACTCTGTCTCAAGCATTGTTTTAACTAAATAAAACCTAATATTTCGGGTAATAAACAACTCTCATTCGTCTCAGTATCAACGTGCGATCTCCCAAGTCAGATCATTACCAATGGTTCAGATGGTGATACACCTGTAACCATCTAGGGAATAGCGCCCACCACCTCCACTAAATGAGACTGCACCTTGTTGCCTCCTATTTGATTGTACGCGAAGAGTTTCACGACTCACATCCCTAAATTGTAGGAGCAGATCAGCTCTATCACTCTTTGATTGTCTATAAGACTAGATCTGTAATTCACTATAATTTCTTTCCATCAGTAAAGAATTCAAAATAAACGCGTGTCGGGGTCTGTACTAGAATGGCTTAACATGAATAACTTCCTGGTAAATGTTACGGGAACTAAATATAGGTAATCATGTTAGTGACAGGTTATGCAGTCATCAATAACAATTTCAATTTTAATGCGACCAAGTGCACGAAAGTCATTTACACCAACACGCATATTATATATTAAAGATAATATAGTTAGACGAAAATGGCGTATGTATGAAAATTACGATAAAATAAATATTTAAGAGTCACTGCGTATTATTGTAACTACGATATCGCATTGGACATGTAATGTACTTAGGTATAATGAAGTTAGTCCTATTTACAATACAGGCTACGTCAAATTCAAAATTCCTCATCACAGAAAAAGCCAACAGCACAGAACGCAAATTTGCTTACGCTCCACTTAAGAAGAGATGAAACGTCGTCAAACAATGATAAATTGAGTGCTGATTGCAGGGAAAAGTTTTGAAGAAGATCGTGATAAGCATTGAAGTGGCTGCGAGCCGTCGTTCCGCGAAGACGGGCGCGGTGACCCTCACGCGTCGAGTCCGCGCTGCGGCCGTGGGCTGAATGGCCAATCGCCGCCTAACCGAATTAAAACTGCGCTCGCTGATTGCTGCTTGTGCCGCGCCGACTTCTCTAATAGCCACTCCATCTGGCCTTTCGTTAGCTGAACACACTTGTGTCACGCATTATATTATATCTTTGTATTCGATATTATAGTTGAACACGGCAAACATAATTTTTAAGTTTATTGAATGTCACGGACCACCATGGTATTCAATTATTTTTGTGAAATTACTCCACTAGTTTGTTATAATTTTATAGTACAAAGAACGAGCATTAAGAAAAAATTCCTTCGATCCAGCTGGTTTCGAACCATCGTCTTCCAACAAACCGTGCCAGAAGCTACACCAACTAAGCCGCGGAACGAACTACCTTACGAACTTTTCTGTGTGCTAGTTGCAGATCTGTGTTTTAGGTTTTTATATATACTTTGATTTTTCGCCAGTCGACTCCAGCAGAATCGAAGGAATTTTTTCTTAGTGTTCGATCTTTGTATTAATATATACGTTTACTTCATTATTGAAGTAAACGTACTTATTTATATTATTTTACCACAATAAAGGTTTTCTAACCAGCACGCAGAATGCCGCTCGACAATTAAATGCACTCTATAAGCATGCTTTAGTGGAGGCTGTCGATGATCTGAGACGAACCGTGCGTCGCCTCGCTAGGCTGTAAAATGAATTAAGCCGTTGAAAACGCACAAGCTGCGCTGCCTTGTTCTCTTTTAAGCACAAACCTTTGCAAAAATACCTCGTTTATTTTCCAGATGCGAGGTGACTTTGATAAACGCCTACTCGCCTACGTCGCTAAGACTCATTCTAGTACAATCGTGCTTACGTTTAACTAAACAAGAACAAGTAGGGCGCGAGCTGCGCGACGCGTAATGATTTCGAATGAAAGCGAGCTGCCAGAGCGAAAACAATCACTCGAATACAAAGGACATGTGTAATAGCATAATTGTGTAATAACTACAGGAACATGACCAATACCAGTGCAAAATTGGACGCGAGAGCTGTCTTCTAGCTACGACACTGTGGTGGTGGTAAGGTAGCCCGCAGCGAGAGTGATACACGGAATACACATTTATAGACGAGAGTCGCCGACGACGGCGCGCGCTAATGCGCTACTCGTGTCGCGCTGGCGGCGCGCAGCGGCGACAGCCTGCATTAAAAAATTATGTGATAACTATGAGCTAGTTCGGTCGTCACATACGTATATCATCACATCTCGTAACATCCTACTTCTCTTTTACTAAATTGTTAATTTAAGTACACCCTTCAAAAAACTGTCTTAAAAAATAATAAATTGTTTGTTTTATTGTCTATTTTCTCCTCGAAACTAAAGTTACCTAAAAATCGTCCCCATACTTCCCGGAATGTCAAGAGTAAAATCAAAGGTAGCAAATTGTGGTAGTCGTCGCGTTTAAAAAACAGTAAATCGGTTTAACCACGCATCATATAAAGAAGTTTCTGCTCCCTAGAACGACTTAAATGCGTTACACGAGCACGTATTCAGGTAGTGCGAGGGTACAGAAGCGATAGGTATGTATAAAATCACAAAGGAGTATATCGAGTTCTTAGGTTTTCGCGATTGTTACACATAGGAAATGAAACTATTTTTCCGGATTTAAATCGCGTATATTTGTGTTTTCAAACAAACGACGTTTCGGGCCCTTTACAGGTCCCATGGTCACGGTTGACTGAGGTGGTACAGTCTTCAACCAGTTATGTCTAATATTGATGCAAATCACCATATTTTTTCACTATAGTTACAATAGTTATTAATTAAATACCTTCGTCAAAACGTCGGTTGGTTTGAAAAAACAAATATACGCGATTTAAATCCGGAAAAATAGTTTCATTTCCTACACAAAGGAGTACTTTTTTCAATAAAACTATGAAGGTAGTAATGGCGCCAAAAATTTAAAATAATTTGCGGAAATGACACTGACTCGTCATTTTACTGAACACTAACTGTATCCATTACTGAGTAGCCGTAGAGCTTCTCGTGAAAGAGTTCGTCCAAGGGAGTACTGCCACCTTACCTATTTCTGCCGCCAAGCATTACATAATGTCAGCATTACCGTGTTCCGGTTTCGAAGTGAAATGTGCCCCTCAGATCTTTACGACTTAAAGCTCTAAGTGGCGCTGTACCTGTTATGGACAGGCGTGTCGCTTTCCACCCGACACACGACTTGTTCGCCCCGTCACTTGGTATTATAAAAAAATCCAACACGAAATGCCATTGACAACGTGCGCAGTCCCCAACTCGCGTCGTTCCGGCGATGTGGTGGACTTTAACGCATGGCCTTGTGAGCTCTCCTTAAAGGAGGCTCGCACCCACCAAGGGGATTTAACACTTCAGAGACTTTTGGAGAAAATTTTAATCGTATCGTAACAAAAGGACATTTCGTACATATTGTGGACAAATCAGGGGCCCGTTACAATGCTTGGCGAAGGGAGTAAGCGGCACATTATGCACACGTCTGCGGAGCTCCAACAATTCCCGGAGACATCGGCAGTGGCTAGCACGGTTCGTTAAGATCCTGCTGGAGGCCCCTCCACGCTGGCAGCACCAGTGGAAAGCGCGGCTATTCGCAGAAAGCGTGCCCCCACTTCAAAAAAGTAGTAGTAATGCTTAGTAAGTCTTGTTTTTGTTTTTTGATTCAATTTGTTTTTTATTGTTTGCCACTACTCTGAATTACCTATATTTGTACTGTTTATTGATGTTAAGAGCATGATTTTGTATCATTTTTATATTTAGTCTCTTGTGGGTATTACTTAGTCGTAGCATAATCTTAGTTACCGTTTTTTCTGATCATGTTTTATAACACAGTCAGTCAATCGACGTCGAACTGTGCACACGCATATACCCCACCACTTTGTCGTCTCTTGTAAGTCAGTAGTTCCCAAAGTATTAGCAACAATGTTCAAGTGTAAACGATGTGATGCTGAATTTAGAGACGGAGTCCAATGTTCGGTGTGTCTCTGTCATCTCGACTTTCCTTGCGCTGGGATTACGGAAGTGGGCTATCGTAAGCTTGGTGATCGAAAAGCCACCTGGAGATGCACTACTTGCAAAAATTCAGCGAGTCCCCACCTATCTTCAAGCAAAGCCAAGTCACTTAAATCTACTGTGGACCTCGACGATGTGATGACGGAACTAAAGCGGCTAACAGCTTTAACAGCATCACTTCCGCAGCTGGTGGCTAGTGTTACGAGCTAGCGGAGTTAGCTGAACTGAAAAATCTGAAACCGGAGCTTGTGGATGTGAAGGAATCTATAAATTTCATGCATAACTCTGTGGACACCTTATTGTGATGTAGTAAGTGTAGTATACTTATTTAGTAGTACTGTAATGTACTTAGGATAATTATATACAATAAATATTCAGTCTTGTAACAGCATTCGTTGGTTTCACTCGTCTCCAATATCCCCGGCTACCACCGTCCCTACATTATCAAACAGGATAAGTGATATCGAAAAAGAAATCCAGATACTGCTTAAAACAAGAGATGAGATTAAGATGCTGCAGCAGCGAATGGACAAGCTGGAAAGCTTAGTTCGAGATGGGGAACGAAGATCTCGTATGAACAATATTGATATAAAAGGAGTGCCCGTAACGCAATCAGAAAACCTGTTCCAGATTTTCGCCAAACTTGGCGATCACATTAAATGTACTATACCTAAAGAAAATATAAACTACGTAGCTCGGATTCCCATGAGACATGACAAAGTCAATAAAACTATAATCGTGTCGGTGCATAACAGGTATCAGAAGGAGGACTTCGTGGCTGCAGCTAAGAATTTTACTATTATTCCAACGGACCTGAAACTTCCCGGGGTAAACAGGATTTTTATTAACGATCATCTGACTCTGGAGGACAAGCTCTTACTAAATAAAGCGAAGACATTGGCTAAGGAGAAATATTTTGAATTTACCTGGGTAAAGGGGTGCAAAATTTATGCAAGGAAAAGCCCCACGTCGCACGTTATAACTATAAAGTCGGAAGCGGATCTAAAAAAGTTAGTATAATTGTAACTATAACATTGTTACTACTTATAATAAGATTATTTTTAAATTGTTTTATTGATGTCGTTTTTGTTGAATTATTTTTGCTTAGTAAATGTCAGAGTTATATCGTGCTCGCTTCAAAGCTACTTTTGTCACTCACTATTTCGTCTCAACTTTCAAAATTTATACATACTTGTGTTGAATACATTAACAACACATATTATAATTTGCGAGCCACTGGCAGCCAACTAACTCGCTTATCACGTCGTCAGTGCGTGCACCTTTGTTTCGCTGTCGCGCGGTCTCGTTGCGATCCCCACCGCCGCTTGCTGCTATTGTTTACCCTACATGTGTCGATTGTTTGCTAAGACGCCCGCTAATATGTTTTTTAAGCAAGATAATAGCGATCGCATTATTTATTTTATTTTACGCGCATTGATGCTTACTTATTTAATTTTTGCAACGAGTTCACGCTTTCACTTTATTTTAACTACATATATTTATTTATTTTACCTTTATACATTATATCATTCAGTATTTAACACATCTTGTTTCAAAAATGATTAACATTTATTATCAGAACGTACGTGGCTTGCATACTAAAACTTCTAATTACTATAAAAATATTTGCTTGAACTCTTTTGATATTATATGTTTAACGGAAACTTTGTTATTAGAAGGTTTAAAAGATAGTGAATTATTTGACAGTAGGTACATGGTTTGGAGACGTGACCGGGATTATGCTAAAACTCAACAATCCTTGGGTGGATGGAGTTTTGATCGCTATACGTAAAGAACTCACTGCGGCCGTTCGCAGCGATTGGTGCTCTAACGCTGAAGACTTGTGGGTAACTCTTACGTTGCAACACCAGAAGCCGAAGGTAGCGTTCAAACTCAATTTATGTACTGTATATATTTGCAATCAAAACATAGGTAACTCAATAACTAACCAACTGGCATTATTTTCTGAGCACCTTTCTGACACTGTTTTGAATAATCCTTGCGATAAGTTTGTAATTATTGGAGATTTTAACATGTCCAATTTGATATGGGTGGCAGACGAGATGGCCCACGGGTCTATTGTTCCAGGGGGTATTAGGGGTTCTGTTCAGACGGATTTATTTGAGTCTTTTAATTTATGTAATTTATCACAATATAATTTTTTAGACAATAACAAAATCAAAATGTTAGATTTAGTACCAGAGGATCCATATCATCCTGCTTTATGTATTTCTGCAAACTTTGTACAACTCCATCCTCTTAAGTCGCGGCTCTATATAAAATATTTTTACCAGTCTGGGGATTATGATTCTATTAATTGTAAACTCCATGCGATTGCCTGGAATTTTGAATTGCATCGCGGTTCATTGAATGATGCCGTCTCTTTTTTCTATGGCGTGCTGAATGACCTTCGAACTGAATTTGTGCCTTTAAAATTAGTTACTTCGTCATCAAAATACCCTCCATGGTTTGGTAGGCCTCTTATAAAGGTTTTAAAAGAAAAGCATAAATATCAATCAAAGTATAAAAAATATAGTAACCGGCATGACTTTCAATCCTTTGTCACTTTAAGAGATCGAGCAAGGATTTTAGAAAAAGCAATGTTTGATAAGTATATGTCGGATGTTGAGGAAAATATCACTTCTAACCCCAAAGCGTTCTGGTCCTATGTGAAATTAAAGAATCATAATAACACATATCCTGCTGCACTTCAATACGCGCAGCGCACGTCTAGTGATGGGGAAGTCATATGTAATATGACTTTTATTCGACTTTCTCACATAGCCCTCAAACTGACAGCGCACCTAACGACATTGTTAACTCCGCATGTGAAATAGGCGATATCGAAGTTAACGCGTCTGTGGTATGCAAGCTATTAAAGTTTCTTGACCTGAACAAGTCAGCCGGCCCAGATAATATCCCTGCAATACTTATCTCTAGATGCTCTAAATCTCTTTGCACTCCTCTTTGTATATTATTTAGTCGCTCACTGATTGAAGGCGTTGTACCTAAAATCTGGAAGTCTGCATACATAACGCCCATACATAAGAAAGGTCCAAAGGACATAGTACAGAATTACAGGCTTATATCAAAATTGTGTTTGTTTGCAAAAATTTTGGAAAAAATCGTTTATGGCCAGGTTTACGCGTCCGTTAAGCAGGCACTATGTCCAGAACAGCATGGATTCCTGAGTGGCAGATCAACTACGTCTAACCTTCTTTTGTGTAGTGACTACCTTACTAAACACATGTCCGAGCCATCACAAGTGGATGTAATTTACACAGATTACAGTAAGTGTTTTGATCGTATTGACCACACTGTACTTCTGCGTAAACTTCAAAATATTGGTATAAAGGGTAACTTGTATAGATGGTTCTCTTCTTATGTAAAAGAGAGATGCCAGACTGTTGTATTGAATGGATACACCTCTTCATCTATGCCAATACCTTCCGGCATTCCTTAAGGCTCATTGCTGGGTCCATTGTTCTTCAATATTTTCATCAACGATATATCATTATGTTTTATTTATGCTAAAATAATTTTGTATGCTGATGACATGAAAGTAATGTTTCCGATTAAATCATTTCGTGACGCGCAGAGAATCCAAGAAGACCTCTCCAGATTTGAAAAGTACTGTAACCTGAACAAACTCGACATAAACGCGTCTAAATGCAATGTCTGTACTTTCTCGCGTAAATCTGACCCAATAATATTTTCATATAAACTTTTAGGCATTGATATCACTAGAGTAACTACGATACGTGACCTTGGTATAACTTTTGATAGTAAATTAATTTTTGACGTTCATGTTAATGAAATTGTTAATAAAGCATCTAGAGCGCTCGGTTTTATAATGCGTATGTCACAAGATTTCAGCTCAATAAAAACCTTTAAAATACTTTACTGTGCCTTTGTGCGTAGTCACTTAGAATACGCCTCTCAAATATGGAATCCCTGTTACAAAATATACGAAACGCGAATTGAGAGAATACAAAAACGTTTTTTACGATATTTGCAATTTAGATCCAAGATCTATATTTCTGATTATTATAAGCGGTGTCAAAAGTTTCATATACTCCCGTTACATAAAAGAAGGTGGATAGCTGATGTTCTGTATTTACTTAAAGTAGCAAGTGGTTTTGGTCGACTGTCCTGAGCTGCTCAGTAACATTGGTTTACGTGTTCCAGTGGCTTCTTTTCGACATCCCAGCATACTTCATGTTCCTTACAGACGAAATTCATACTTCATTAGGGCGAGTGAATACTATAACAAAATAGCAAAACAGCACGATATTGACTTATTTTGTACCACACCTGACCAACTTAAACGACTTCTTAGTAATAAGTTTTTTAATTCTTCTTGTTAGAGTGTAATTCTTTTCTTTTTCTTTGGACAAATTTCTCTTTTTAATCATATTGTTTTCTAAATTCTTTCCTCATTAATTGTGCACAGACCAAACATAAAGCTTATTTATTATCTGTGGAAGCTTGTAATTGGCCGTCTGTATTTATTTTTTTGTATGTACTTGTACCTAGCTGTTAGTTTCCCTACAAATGTAAAATAAAATAAAATAAAATAAACATTTTTGTAAAACAACCACTTTCACTTTTTCTGTTTTGACTGGTAGTAATACTATTATTATTTATCTATTTATTTATAAAGCATTGGCTTCAGAGCCATCAACTTAATGGTAACAAATAATCAAGAATCGCACAACGTAATATACATAAACTAAAAATTAATTCGTGCAAAAAATGTAACTACTAAAACCCACCATTTTTTCTGACGGTTATCAACCGTGACCATGGGATCTGTGAAGGGCCCGAAACGTAGGTTTGTTTGAAAAAACAAATATACGCGATTTAAATCCAGAAAAATAATTTCATTTCCTATAATTAAATAATATTTATTTGATTTTTTTTTCTGTTGCGTTGCGTTTCTGTCGCTGAATTTTATCTGCGTTCCATTCCATGATTGTTTGTGATGAAATTGTAATATATTTGTTTCGTGTTTTCTGGGCGGCTGGTGGATACAAAGTTTTATTATATTTTAATTTATTTTTATTTTATTTTACAATTTTGTTATTATATATTATTATCATATATATTAATTTATTCATTCAATTTAATTTCTTTAAATTTTAGATGTACTATTATTATTAATAATTGTTACTTATATACTGATTAATTAAATTATGGATATTTCAATAAATGATCTAAGTAAGTTATATATGTCTTGCTCCTCTGAGTCTCAGACGACAGCTTCCACAGTTTGCCTGCCCTTGATGAGTTACTACACAATACCTTCTTGGAAGTACCTAAGAATGTCAATGTAGTACACATCAATGCGCAGAGTATTCCAGCACATTATGCGGACATGCTAGGTACGTTTGATAACAAAAATATTCACGATAATAATATTAGAATATTCTTGTGTCCGAAACATTTTTAAATCCTTGTCTTGCTTCTTCTTCTTTCTGTCTTCCAGGTTTCCAAAAGATTCACAACGACCGTACTAGTTCTTCTCACAGTGAGGTAGCTATTTACCTTCGTAGCCATATTCCTTTTGCAATCCTCAGTACTTCACCTCAACCCCCGCCACCCAATACTGCAGAACATCTGTTTTTGGAAAAACAGTTTGGAAGCTACTTTGTCCCATCATAAGCTACTTCTGGGAGTTCACTATTGCCCATCTCTGAGGAATGACTACTTCTTCGCTCTTGAAAAGCTTCTCGAAGACGTTGCTTCTTCTTATGATCATACCCATATGCCTTCTTAAAAGTGATTAACATTCGCGTAGTTTTCGTTCTGTTATAAATTAATCTAACTTGCATATTCTTCCATCTAATGCTACGCATCATTCTGCTAACTGTACTCCCTCTCTTATGGACCTCACCGCTGTCTCTTCTCCTGAACTTGTCACCAAGCATGGTCAATACACGGCGATGCTTTTCTTATCACGATCTCGTGTACCTGTCGTACAGGATACGCATGCCCAAGGCTAAGCCTAAAATTCTTCT